GGGGCACGGCCTGCACGAGACCCTCTGCTCGGTGCGCGAGAAGAACGACCTCACCCGCTCCTCCATCGACACCCGGTCCGGCGTCAAGGACGCCACGACCGTCCTTTTCTTGCACCGCAACGGCTGACGTTTTTCCTCTGCTTCTAATTACTTCGATAGATGGTGCGCATAGTGTCTTTGATCGCCGGACTCTTCGGTCTCGGCTTCATCGGCATCGCCATCGCTCAATTCGTCCAGTACGGGCGTCTGAAGAAGGTGGCGGGCACCAACACCGCGCTCACGGCGGTCACCCTTCAGGTCATGCATCTCGCGATCGCGCTGCTGATCATGGGGCTGATACTGACGGTCCTCGGGTTCGCGACGGCGTTCAAGCACGTCGAAGATGCCGCGGGAGAAGGTGGACACGCGGACGTGGACGACGAGAGGAACTACTCCCTGGACGCATTCCCCGACTTCGAGGATCGGATGCTGGCTCAGCAGCTGCACAACCTGGACGGCAGGTCCGCGCTCATCAACGCACAGAAGTCCGTCTTGCGGGGCCGGCTGAACGCGGCACGACCGGTACCGGTGGCGGCTCCGGCCGAGCATGTCTGAGGACGGCGAATATTATGTGAGCCCGTTGATAGATATGGGGGAGCTGCTCGTCCTCGGTTCGCTCTCCGCGATCGCTTTTCTGAACATGCCGAAACGCGTCGAAGAGACTGGGGGCAAGGTGCCATGCCGAGGCTCGGTTCCGCGTCCGAGGCTGGATCCGATGCAGGCGATAGAGGTGACGAACGGTCGCATGAGTGACTACCCGGGGGTGTACAAGCGACCAGGCTACTATGCGGAGAACGCGCGGGACTTTGAGCGCAGGGCGGACGCCATGTCAGCAGCATGCATGCCGGCGAGGGAGGGCTTCCATGCGGCGTCAGGCGGAGTGGTGAAGGGATACGTGCCGGGGCTGAAGAGGGCGACGGATGTGATAGGCAGCAGGCGAATGATGGGAAGCCAATTCGTGCCGTTCGTCAAGAAGGGCAACACTTACAACAGCTACATCTCTGACAGGACACTGGAGACCTTCACGGGTGGAGACTCTCTCGCGGGCGCTTTCTTGGCCAAGGGGTCGGCGAACGAGCCCGATCAGAACATGTTTGCGCCGGCTCCGGATAGGCAGCCCGCCAGGTTGGTCTCGAGAGACGTGAGCCGCGTGAATCTGCCGAACTATTACAACAACCAGACGAACTTCGACCCCGACAGAGTCGGCCCCGGAGTGGGCATCCCGGCCGATCAGCTGGTCTCCAACGAAGGGCTCCACCCTATGCTGCGCATCCTGCCCGACGCAATAGACGAGAGCAGGCACAACCAACTGCCGGCGCTGGTGAAGTCCGGGGCCAGCGCGTTGCGCTCTCAGGCTGCCCGCTTCGGCACCGTCGACGTCAACAGGCCGCACCTTTTGGCGCAGCGGGACCCGATTCCTCAGGTCTTCTCGGGTCCGAGACCGTCTGCTCTACGGCCGGAAGACATCTCGGCCTTCTCCGTGGGCCAGCGAGGGTTGGGAAACGCCACGTCGGAGTCCGGTGGCCGGCTCGGAGCTGCCGCTTCGCACATCCCGGCGCACGAGCCGCGCTGCATCGCTGAGAACGACCCTAGGCGCCGCGCCGTGGGGCCCGAGGCAGTGTTCGCATCCGGCGGGGGCATGAACGCCGCTTCCGAGACCGCTCATGCGGCGGGATCGTACGCTCGCGGGGTGGGGTCTTACCGCGACCGCGCGACGCGCGAGGTTTCCTCGTCTCTGACCTTCGGTCAGCCGGGGCAGCAGCTATCGAGGGGTTACGTGCAGGGCAGCCAAGGCAAGCCGCTGACCAACCGAGCTGCGGACTCGGTGCTCGGCCTGAAGGTGGAGGGCGTCGGAAAGCGCGGTCAGACGGGCGGGGCATCGAAGATAGTATCCGACGGCTGCGCGGTGCAGACTCAGCGCGGGTTGTTTGCCGATGAGCGCACAGAGCACGGGCGAGCGCGGATCTCGTCGGCTGCTCTCGCCCCGCGAGACACCGTGCCGGAGAACAACCGCAGTCTGAACGCCGCGCTCGTCGGCTACGACGTTCGGAACGGAAACAGGGCTGGAGCGGCCGGCCCGGTGACAGATGCACGGACGTTCCAGCTTGCGAACCACCGAGACTCGGAAAACCTCAGGTTCTCCGGTCAGAACCGCGGATTCAGGAACGGCTCCGGCCCCGGCGAGACCACGAGCGGGCCGACGGGAAGAACCGACTCCTGCCGTGCGCCGGCGGGCAACCGTTCGGCCTGGGACTACGCCGCAGTCCCATGCACCTCCACGACCATGAAGCCGGACCCCGCTTACAACGACCGGATCGACGAGTTGGACATGGCGGAACGGCAGCTCGCGTCCAACGAGCTGAGCATCCCGTTCTACGACATGGTGCGCCGTAGCAGAGATACATAAGAAACCGTGGGGCCGTACGGGTATCAGATCATGCGCACGATGCCGGACGAGCCCGTACGCCCCCCGCCTCCCGTTCCGGTCCGAGTGGGAAGCAGAGGACGGATCAAATTCAGTCGCGTTTACGAGCATGCATTCCGAATCTTTTCTGCC